GCATGCGCCTTTGGTTCACTATTTGCATATTCATACAATTGAAGTGATCACAAAAAGGGATGCAGCCTAACCAAATCTGCAGAACCATCACAGAACAAATGTGATATATGTCAGAACACATTTACTACAGTCAGGCTTTGGGGCATCACTCCAGGTATGGTCACGGAGACAGCAGCTTCACGTGCGAAAAATGTGGGAAGTCCTACCAATACCCATCATCTTTGAAGATTCACAAAGAAAAATATAACAGTGACTAACTGTTTAGAACAAAACAAACTCGTACGTTTTAATTATATTTACTACATACGGTCAATTAATGTGTTACAATGCACAACCTTGTTACAGATTCGGTCCATGTACAAGATGTCAAGACAGACATTTTCATGCTACGGTTCATGTTTATTACATGCATTCAATTTCATTTAATATTCATTAAAAATGTTCATTTATTTTTTTAAATATGTTTAACCCTAATGTTTAGATCGACTTTTTTGTAGATGAAGAAAACAATTTTAAGTTTTAACTAAAATGCACAATATTCATTACAGAGTGGTTCTGCTGTATAAACTTCATCTAAATTCAGCCCAAGTCTTTTTGAAGGTAGTATTTTTGCCTCATTAACGCAGGACCCATATTGCTGACGTATCGGTTGGTCCCCGAGAACTGGCGCATTGATTTCCGAAAATTTGAATGGTTTGTCCTGATGCTGACATCTAGCACAGTCGGCTTTATCAAAGAAATGATCCCTGCAAAAAAGAATAATAGCTTAAGCTTGATTACGATGTTCATAATTTTCTCCCTTTCTCTCTCCTTTCTTTCTTTCTGTGAGAGAGAGAGAGAGGGTGTGTGAGTGTGTGAGGGTGTGTGTGTGAGGACTTGTGTAAAGGAGGGTGCGTTCGAAGAGCGTATGTCAGGGTGAGTGAGAATGTGTGTGTGTATTTATAAAAACTAACTTTGGTTGTATGCAACTGATCAGATTTGTAGCTCTGCATCTGCATGTTCCACTGTGATCAAATATGGATGATTGCTCCGGAAGAGAAGGAATGTGCTGCATTTGGTAGACTGTAGATCTCTTAGTTTTGACAAAAAAGAACCGATTCGAGGAAAAGAGAACATTATATTTATGAAATGTAAATCCATAAATACCTGCTTCTTGGAAACAGTTCAAGTTCTGCAGTTTATTATGTCATTTTTTTTTATTGTTTTGTAGCAATTGATCAAGGCAATAAAATCATACAAAAGTTTTCATTCATGTTTGTTTATGAACATAATCATGTCATATAATTTCTAAATAATCGTGTACATACTAACCATCCTTCATTTTCATCGCCGTTACCATTGTAAAATCTGTTATGTATTTTTCCACTCCACTCGTTGACAATATTCCCTGCCTCCAGGGATCCATCTCTTGCATTGTAGAGAAGAACAATTCAGAACACTGGGTGTTGGCAGCTCTAATGCAGTAGGTACCTTTCTTGGGAATGACATAAAGGTATAAATTAGCTTCCATACTGGTTCTGAGGCCTTCATAAACAGTGATAAAGTATATATGACAACCCTTTAATTCTTGCCCCGTACGGAGGAAATTCACCAAAGTTACTCCCTCATCAAGCCATTTAATAAGTGCCATGCGATATCTACATCTTTCTAAAGCACTTATGCCTGGTTGATCGTCTGCAATATACAGAGCCTCCCTTATAACGTTGCAAAAGTTTACCTCATTGATATCATGATTCTGCAACATGACAGATTCAACATACTTGCTAAACATATTTCTTGCCAGAGCTTCCTTCCTTTGGTCCACAATCTTTCCCTCCTCTGATACTTCGCATAAAGCAGGTCTTAAAATATTTGGGTTTGAATTTGAGACTTTCTTCCAAGCTTTTTTTTTTTTAATTCCATCTACTTTATCAACACAGACTGCTTTTCTCAGATTGCTACCTAAATGCGACTCATCGTAGGCAAAAACCTCAAATTCACCTTCCTAAATCTGGTACGTAGTATGATATACCCATAATCTTTATTTCAGGAAGGACATGAGCGGTGCTGTACCATAATTGCAACCGGTCAGACCAAATGAACTGACAAAATGCAATGTTTAACACTTGCTTTGGATATTTCTTCATCATAATAGCACGCCTTGCTATGTGTTTCAGTGGCAAGACACGTCCTTTTCTTCTGCGTCTATTCATCTTTTGAAAATGAAAATTTAACAAAAAAATTGCTTCTAAAATAGGGGTTTTGTCAAGATTAAGATCATTCATGTTCTCTGAGTTATTGTTTTAATTTTTTTTTTACAATTGTTTTCCCCCATTTCAATTATTGTTGTACTGTTTGGGGCAATATGAAAAACGAAGAAGGTCTTAGCAAACTATGTAAACTCCAAAAGCGAGCTGCTAGAGTGATTTTAAATACTACATTTTATACACCTACATCGGAAATGTTTCCACAACTGAGATGGATGCCAATTGATGATTATTTTACGTATAGAACTGTCATCCTTGTTTTTAAAGTCTTAGATGGATTAACTCCAGATTATTTAGATGTTTTTATGTTTGTACATGAAATAAACAACATATCTACAAGATTGAGTCAAAGCAATTCATTGTATATTCCGAGGGCAAAAACAGAATATTTTAGAAGATCTTTTACAATTTATAGTTCCCAGCTATGGAATAAATTGTCAGAAATTTTAAAGAATTGTCCATCATTGCAAAGTTTTAAATCAGCATATATAAGAAATTATTTCCAGTCTACAAACTAAAATGTTAATCACATAGATCATTCTTCTGATGTTTTTTTTTAGACGCAGCTTAGACAAACCATCTGTAAATATTGATTTTTGTATTCTATTCGCTCTATATTTATATACTTCTGTACATAATCTTCTGTCTGTACAAATGTTTTCAGGACCACAATGTGAACTAGTTGTTAACTAATTGTGCCATCCTGTATAAATAAAGGATATTATTATTATTTTCAATTGTTGTCCCATCAGAAAGGACGTTAGAAAGTTGGTTGACCAGATCTGATTAAAGAACCCCTCCTATTTTTATAATAACTTGGTTCCGCCTTTTGTGAACATTCCAGTAATTTGTTATTTCAACCAACTTTTTCACAGTGAATTTCTTCAAAGTTTCTGCTGATTCAAAGTAGCTTGCAAGCTTTTTTGGAGTCTGGCTTGACCATTTCTTCGTGTTAAGATTTATAAGCACTTTGATTGATCTCTCCACCCTTTTCTAGGTGTACATATTTTTTTTCAAAGAGGAATTGGGTGATTCGATATACAGTATTTTGCAAAACTGTGACTCGGTATTTTGAGAGTAAATCAGAAGTGCTATTTTTATATCTCAGTTGATTCGGTACTCCAAGATCATGCTCTACGTATGAAAAATTTCTAAAACGAGGTAAATTATTGACAAGCAAGTTCATGAAACAAGAATATCAACAGTCTCGTTAAACTTTAAAGTTATCATTTCGAAAGTTCTATGGTCGATACGATGACCTTGTCAGCAAATACAATTTATCATTGAGTCAAATGTTGACTGACGTTTTTCATACCAATTGTTGGTCATTATTTATACGCTGAATAACGACGGATTTTTCCGTTATTTTCTGATCATGACAACGAGCACACAGCGGGTGTGACCGGTCAGGAGGGGATGCTACTCCCCCATGGCACCTGATCCCACCTCTGATGTTTTTGAGGTCAATGCATGTTTACTCTTCTCCTATTTTGTATTGTTTTATGGACTTTGATATTGAATACTGCTCGTTATCTCCATATCCTTCATTTTGCATGGGGCATTTAGTTTTTTGTGAATCAGTCTGTCTGTTCATATACAGAAACCTTAATTTTGGTTATAGCTTTTGAAGTTTTTGCGTTAAATCTTTCAGATTTTTCAAGTGTACTTCACAATACGCTTCTTTTGGAACCGATATGATTGACCTCTTGACCTAGATTCCAAATAGTTTAAATCTAGGGCGTTTATATTTCTTGGGAAAAGACCTTTTTTCGGGTGCCAACTGTTTTGAACTCGTGACATTGAAATTAGAGTTTGATCCAATATTCAAAGAAATCAACCTCGACCCTAACTTTTGATCAGTTGATGGTAAGGTTTTTAAATTTCCAGTGTAGTGATTAAAAATTGTCAAATCACGGCCCTGGGAGTTGGTTGGGCAGTGAGTAATATAAGAGAAAACTCTGGTTGAGAACAAGTGCCAAGTTTTTCAGGTGAGCAATGTGGCCTATGGGCCTCTTGTTTGTATGTGTACTTTTAATGATTTTTCATTGCCATCTTTCTTTTTTGCTGTAATTAATTTTAAAATTTGCTTTTTAAAGTACAGTTTTCACTTTAATTAGCAACAGAAGTGTAGCGTTATGGTTTTTTGTTCAAGTCTTTGACAATAACGCTACAGATCCTATAAAGGGAATAATGGCGAGGATTTCTCCACTTTCCAGGACTGGTCAATCAAATATATTTCCCTCCCTAAATCTATGCATATTTTTTAACCAACTTTATTTTACACACCTCAAGACCTTTTTATCTATACAGACCGTTTTGCATTTTCTGTCATCCTACAAAAACATCACAACAAGCAGACAAAGAGATGAGTCTGAAGAATTGGGAGGCAAATAAAGTATACAGATTCGTTAAAGAATTAATTTAGAATTATTGAGTGAATAAGTTGATTGACCAATGCTAGAAAATGAAGAAATTATCCCCAATTGTGTGCAGAAAAATTTGCATCGTAAATTGCGTATTACTTTCATAACGGAAAGGTCAAAGACTGATAAAAACATATAAAAACATAGTGTTACAGTTCTCCAGCTACATTGTCATATGACAAGCAGTTCTTAGCAGGTCTTTGTCTTTGTATAAATATATGTCAATTTCTTATTTACAACATGTACACTACTTCAATAAATATAAAACATCGAATGCTATAACTTTCATTTATATATAGGGATGATCTGCGATATGCAGCATTATTGCACAAGAAAATAGCACTATATAAACTAGAGAAAAAGAAAGGAATGAAAAAGAATTCCAAATATAATCACAAACCCCAAAAACCATATAATTTACATAAGTAACATCGATAATTGTATGTATATATGAAAAATATATAAATTAAGCATAGACGAGGGTTGTCCGTAAAGTTCGTGGACAACATTGATAATAACTGACAAACCATGATAAAACATATGAAACTATTATTTTTATTAAATTCATGTTTCATGTTATTAATATGTGTTCAACATGAGCAAAGTACAAATAGTTATATTTTTATCAGATACAAAAAAGACACACACTCATGATACCCAGAGCACTAAAACGAAAATTCTTGACGTTATCTAACGTCAAAAGCTTAATACGAATACATGTAAATTTTATCAACATAGTCACCGTTTAACTCAATACATTTCTAATGTCGCTTTAACCAATCCTAAAAATGTGCACAAAATGTTGAGGTTTAAAATTTCATACGTAAAATAATACTTAACAATGCCTGTCTTATAGCCTGCAATCATCCAACCTCTGTCTGCGAAAAAAGATGTTATTTACGGAACTACGGAAAAGTCACCTAACAAAATTCATTTTTTTTTTACAGCACTGCAATCTCGGAGTGATGGTTTTCCTTCACACATGTCATTCTGTAAACTGTTTCTTCTGTCCAAAAATATAATATGCCACTTAAGTCCTAATGAACGGCTTCTTTTACTATGCTTTCCCGATTGTTTACAGAATGTATTGTCCCTGTGTTTTTCCGATGTCTACGCAGAATTTTATCACTGCTCGTTGCTCCTCTTATTTTGAAAACGTCCTTTTTTGAACAATTCCGATCCGTCTTAATATGTTCTAACTCTGATTGCTCAGCCATTTTACAACTTTGAACTTTTAAATTTTGCAGGTTTGAGGTGATTACTTTTGTCAATCTTATAATGTAAAAGTCGTTCAGATATCTGCAGAATTTTGTAAAATACAAATGAATTTTATAAGGAGATAATTTTTAATCAAAATTTAAAGTACGATTATATATTATATCAAAACAACATATTAAAAGTTTTTTTTTCAACTCAAAAACTGTCATTTCTCGGTGTCAAATATTTATGGATAAGATAAGCCTCAACTTTTGTCCTCGGATAACTAGACGGTGAGAGCCATCTTGATCTGTCTGTCATGTTTTCCTTCAGATACGCAGAAGTGGATGGTCAGTTTTCTGTAGATATTTCTGAAAATTCAGACATCAGGTAACTTTATTAATCCTCAAAATCTTATGAATGAACTTTCATGGCAATGATCATCATCATAACAAATGTAAGATCTACTTTTGCTTTAACGAAAAACTTACAAATTTGTATAAAATACACCATAACATTAATTAATAAAACTTGTTTGGGACCAGTGAAAATCAAGATGTGTCATTTGTCCATATTGATCATAAACTTAAGTAGTTCTACTCACATGAGCATAAGTCATTGCATTCTTTCTCTCAGCAACAGTAGTTTCCAATCCAATCCAGACGAAGACAGCTTTCTTGGTGAAGACAATAAACACATCCTAATGTTTAAGTCAACAGAAATATATTTATCTCATTGTTACACTCAGCTGAATTTAGACAACTTTCTTGGTGTCAACAATAAACACATCCTAATGTTAAATAAGTCAACAGAAATATATTTATATCATTGTTACACTCATCTGAATTTAGACAGCTTTCTTGGTGTTGACAATAAACACATCCTAATGTTAAATAAGTCAACTTCATTGTTACACTTATCCATATTATGGTGAGTTTTAAGCAAGTCTGACCTAAGACAGATCTGAAAGTCTCGATGTTTGATGTCAAATTCCCAGTAGAGAATATTCTAAACAGCAGTCTTCAGTGCTCACTCACCTTGCTGTCCAAATCAGACGTGGATACTGACCCACTCTTCTCTACATAGACTCACCTTGCTGTCCAAATCAGACGTGGATACTGACCCTCTCTTCTCTACATAGACTCACCTTGCTATCCAAATCAGACGTGGATACTGACCCTCTCTTCTCTACATAGACTCACCTTGCTGTCCAAATCAGACGTGGATACTTACCCACTCTTCTCTACATAGACTCACCTTGCTGTCCAAATCAGACGTCAAGAACTGACCCACTCTTCTCTACATAGACTCACCTTGCTGTCCAAATCAGACGTGGATACTGACCCACTCTTCTCTACATAGACTCACCTTGCTGTCTAGATCAGACGTTGATACTGACCCACTCTTCTCTACATAGACTCACCTTGCTGTCCAAATCAGACGTGGATACTGACCCACTCTTCTCTACATAGACTCACCTTGCTGTCCAGATCAGACGTGGATACTGTGACTCTTCTCTACATAGACTCACCTTGCTGTCCAAATCAGACGTGGATATGACCCACTCTTCTCTACATAGACTCACCTTGCTGTCCAAATCAGACGTGGATACTGACCCACTCTTCTCTACACAGACTCACCTTACTGTCCAAATCAGACGTGGATACTGTCCCATTTTTCTACACAGACTCACCTTACTGTCCAAATCAGACGTGGATACTGACTCACTCTTCTCTACATAGACTCACCTTACTGTCCAAATCAGATGTGGATACTGACACTCTTCTCTACATAGACTCACCTTGCTGTCCAAATCAGACATGGATACTGACCCACTCTTCTCTAAAGACTCACCTTGCTGTCCAAATCAGACGTGGATACTGACCCAGTCTTCTCTACACAGACTCACCTTGCTGTTCAAATCAGACGTGGATACTAACCCACTCTTCTCTACTTTTAACGTCAGATTTCCCGAGGCATCAGACAATCTATGGAAACAAGATGTTGTCATACTTTGATAAAACAAAGTGTAAATTTATATGATGGAGCAGGTGACTTTTTTTTATTTCAACGTCTTTTACAGAAGCCCCTATCTTATAAAGTTCTTGAAGTAAATAATATTCCGTTCAAACAAGAAGTAAAACTTAGGGGGGGGGGGGGGTAACAGGAAAACCTACTTCAAAGACATGCATAATTTATTTCTAGATGTGTGAATGTCTTTCATGTGGAGACTTAATTGTCATTTGTCTACCTCCAGAGGTTATTAAGAAAAATCGAAAAAATGAAACATTCTGAATTCCTAATACATTTATTTGATGAATATTTTCAACCTTTACATCAAGTCAGTCATTTCAGAATCTTAAACTTTGTCTTTGAGAAAATATGTGATTGTGTTTGTTTATTTGTGCCCCAATACACTATATGCCCCTAAGCCAACCTGTAGATTTCCACTTTCAAATCTTTCGGCTTCATGTTCTCTGCATCATCTGGAACATCGTCTTCTGTCAGGACATGGTAAAACTCGTGCTGTAAAAGGGATAAGGATATGGTAAAACTCGTGCTGTAAAAGGGATAAGGAAATGGTAAAACTCGTGATGTAAAAGGGATAAGGGCGTGGTAAAACTCGTGATGTAAAAGGGATAAGGGCGTAGTAAAACTCGTGCTGTAAAAGGGATTTCCTCTATAAGCAACTAGTAGTTGTCACGCAATAATGATAAAAAACAGTCGAATCCAAAAGCAAATAAACAGTGTAGGAAGAAATTTAAGATTATGCTTCCATTCTCTTTTTTTTCAAATTAATTGATTAGACAAGATTTTGTTTTTATTTTGCTGATCAAATTTTGTGACTCGTTTTATAATTGTTTACATGGAAACAAAATTTAAATGCCATTGGAGCATAATCTTCTCTTTAAAGGATAATGCAGAACCCATACATTATAATATATACTCCTCCATGGCACCTGATCCCACCTCTGATGTTTAACAGGCCCTTGTTTGCTCTGCTCATGTTTTGTATTATTTTATGGACTTTGATATTGAATTGTGTTCATTATCTCCATATCCTTTATTAAACTAAAGAGTGTAAAACATGGTATCAGTTGACACTTGCAATCTAGTGATTTTTATGCCCAATGGTCTTCAAATGCATTGTTAACTTAACACATTAACTTCATACTTTTATAACAATTGCAAAATTGGCTTCCCTGGGACTTTGCTGTAAGGATATTTTACTCTAAATGTAAGTATTTGCAATATATGGACATTTTCAAAGAACAAAAAGCATTCTACTATATTACAAATGTATAAATGCAGCAACATTTCCATGCTAAAATAATTTAAATATAACGAAAAAGACATACATTGTTTAATAATCAAATCAGTATCACAAGGCCAGTATTTTATAAGGCCTAAGTTTGTGATTTATTTTTTATTTCCTCTTCTGTATTCAATGTAAAGTCCATAAAATGTATACAAACTGTATTCATAAGGTTTGTCCCAAAAAGTAAAAGAGTTTTTTATTCAGAATTCTATCCTGATAAAAAAATTGGACCCACTTTGTGTCGGATTGTATATTTTCTTCTTTTTGAAAAACAAACTTATTTATTTGCCCTTTGGATTCCCAATTGGCAAATTTTTAGCAAGCTTGAATCTACATTGATAAGCAAATAATTGCTGACTTACAGTCATTATTAGATATGTTTATCCTTGATATGAAGATTCTTCACATATATCCTTTTATATATTTGAAATTTCAAAACAATTTTTTGATCTTATCATGGTCTAGTAGCAATTTTTAAATTCCCCTTATAAATAAAGCTTCCCGCATAAGCTTTAGGCTTAAAAGTCAAAACCTGGAGTATAACCTGCACTTGGCTTATAATCAAATAGTGAGATAAATAGGGTAATAAATAGACTACTTGCTATATAAATAAATGATAAATTGCATACAAATACAAACTTATTGGTCTGAATAATTAACAAGTGTAAACTGTAAATATTATAAAAACATTAATGAAATCAACACGTTGATTTGTTAATTAAGAAGTGCTGAGTTGCTATATCACTACACAAACGTCCCCGGTTTGAACTAACGAAACAATCCCTCGGTTATGTTAACTTTACACACGTGTGCGGGTGTGAACTAGCGATACAATCCCTAGGTTATTTCACTATACTCATGTGTCCGGGTGTGAACTAGCTAGCGATACAATTCCCATGTTATTTCACTATGCGCACGTCCCGGGTTTGAACTAGTGACAAAATCCCCCGGTAATTTCACTTTACGCACGTCCCGGGTGTGAATTAGCGAAACAATCCCCCGGTTATTTCTCTATACTCACGTCCCGGATGTAAACTAGCGACACAATCCCCCGATTATTGATCTATAATATCCTCACGTCCCGGGTGTAAACTAGCGATACAGACCCCTAGTTATTTATTTATAATATACTCTCGTCCTTGGTGTAAACAAGCGATACAATCCCCCGGTAATTTCACTATACGCACGTCCCGGATGTTAACAAGCGATACAATCCCCCGGTAATTTATCTATAATATACTCATGTCCCGGGTGTGAATTAGCGACACAATCCCCCGGTTATTTCTCTATACTCACGTCCCGGGTGTGAACTAGCGACACAATCCCCCGGTTATTTCTCTATACTCACGTCCCGGGTGTAAACTAGCGACACAATCTCCCAGTTTTTTTCACCATGCGCACGTCCCGGGTGTGAATTACCGTAACAATCCCCCGAATATTTATCTATACTCACGTCCCGGGTGTAATATAGCGACACACTCCCCCGGTTATTTCTCTAAACTCACGTCCCGGGTGTGAAATAGCGACAGAGTCCCCCGCTTATTTATCAATAATATACTCATGTTCCGGATGTGAACTAGCGATACAATCCCCCGGATATTTGTCTTTAATATACTCACGTCCTTGGTGTAAACTAGCGATACAATCCCCCGGTTATTTATCTATACTCACGCCCGGGTGTGAACTAGCGATACAATTATTAGATGTTAAAGTGTGGCAATTCGTCATACAAATAATGTTGTCATACTGTCACCAAGTAATTACATATGTTTTTCATATATTTTATTTCATATACTTATGTGGCGAATACCATACTCACTTTGGTAAAATTATTTCTTATTCGATCATTTCAATTAAGTGAGTATGATTCTAATATTTTGTTAAAGCTCTTTTTGTAAAACACTCTTTTGTTAACTTATTCCTTATTGGTTTTTTTAAATCAACTCAACCCACTTGTGCAGTAGATCTTGGTGTAAATACACGATTGTTGGATTGCAATTAATTGTTCAGCAAGCCAGTTTTCAAGGTCACAACCCTAACAAAAATTTACTTTAGTTAACTATAGTTTACTATAGTTAACTATAGTGAAAAGTTTGACACTTTGATTTACTATGAAACTTTGCTCTAGAACTTTTTTGAAGATTTAATGCCTTAATATATCTTAAATTACATACTGATGATGTATTTTTTGATAAAATCTGTAAATATACAAGGAATACTTCATTTTTATTCCAGAAAAGTATTTGTGGAAAGATTAAAAAATAAATTATATATATCTGAAATTCATAGTAAAAATTCCTTAGTGAGTTTTCCTTTGTTATTTTAAAATTCACTTTGAATCTAGCCATAAGCCAGAGTGCTAGCTTATTCCATTGTCTGATTTACATAGTTTGATATATTTCTTTGACTGGACATAAGACCTTATTACAGTAAGTTCTTTTTCTTTTACTAACACTTTGCTTGGTTGAATGAAAGAGTATGAATGAAATATAGTATTATTTTGATGAGTTAATGAAAATGTGTAAAATCATATAGTAATGGTTTAAATGAATATAAATCTAAAGATCTGTTCTTAAAGTTACACTGATATATGAAATATGCTTTATGATGAGATCTGACCTTAAGAATTTGTAAATATTGTATATATTATAAGATTTAGTCAATACAACCATATGTTGTATAATATAGGTCAGATATAATGGTTTGGACGTGACGCCCTGATTTATTAGAGGATAGCCTAGGTCCACAACTTGGTATTTATTTATATTATTACATATTTTGAGAACTGTAAATATTTTTGGTAAATTATATGAATTTACTTGAGTTTTTAAACTTACGACTTTTCAACTTTATACACAACAATTCCGCACGACAAATTAAAATCCAGGCTTTTTGATATCATTGACAGCTGCTTCTTCAACAAAAATGGAACTCGTAAGTTTACTTACCTCGTCATTGGTCATTTGAAAAATTATTTTGTTAAAACAGATTCTGATTGTACACATAAGTACTCTGAAGTTGACATCAAGAAGATGCTTGAGTTTCTGATTGACAATATCTATGTGGTTTTTGGAGACCAGGTATTCCAACAATCTATTGGAATTCCCATGGGTACAAATTGCGCTCCGTTATTAGCAGACTTATTTTTATATTCATATGAAGCAGAATTTATGCAAAATCTTTTGCGTGAAAAGAAAAAAACACTTGCTGTGGCTTTGAACTCGACATTTAGATATATCGACGACGTATTGTCAATTAATAATGATAATTTCCATTCCTACGTCGACACGATATATCCCGGTGAGCTTGAGATAAAAGATACCACAGAGTCCAACACATCTGCTTCATACTTGGATATTTTACTTGAAAAAGACACAAATGGTAATCTAACAACCAAGCTATATGATAAACGTGATGACTTTAACTTTTCTATCGTCAACTTCCCTTACTTATGCAGCAATATACCTTCATCACCTGCATACGGAGTATTTATATCTCAGTTGATTCGATACGCAAGAGCATGCTCTACGTATGAACAATTTCTTAAACGAGGTAAATCATTGACAAGCAAGTTGATGAAACAAGAATATCAACAGTCTCGTTTAAAGTCATCATTTCGTAAATTTTATGGTCGATACAATGACCTTGTCAGCAAATACAATTTATCATTGAATAAAATGCTGACTGACGTTTTTCATACCAATTGTTAGTCCATTATTTATACACTGAATTGACTACGGATTGTTTCCGTTATTTCCTGATTATGACAATGAGCACACGGCGGGTGTGACCGGTCAGCAGGGGATGCTCACTCCTCCATGGCACCTGATCCCACCTCTGATGTTTCGGAGGTCCGTGTTTGCTCTGCTCTTGTTTTGTATATTTGTTTAATGGACGTTGAGATTGAATACTGTTCGTTATTTCCATTTCCTTATGCATATGCTGAAATATAGAGAAATAAGAGTTATTTCCCTTTGATAAAATTCATGAAGTGATAATGAGTAAATTAATAAAAATATCAGTGTAATATAGATTTTATGCTTATGAAATAATTTGTGATAAATGTATACCTATGTTAATGTTATGAAATATTTATTATAACACAATCCAAATCAAAAAAGGAAAATCAAAATTCCTTTTTTTAAACCCATATTTCGAATATGAAGCCATTTTAGGCTAAAATATCATTAAATGCAGCTCCTCCAGTCTTTTTTGCAATAGAAAACCCTAAAAATTCAAACTTTTGGATCCTTTATTATTTAACAAGGTGACCTGCGAGGAACGTTCCTCTCCCAATTTCAAGTGAACTCAATTTATACATGAATCTTAAACAAAGAGACCTGCGAGGAACGTTCCTCTCCATATTTCAAGTGAACTCGATACATACATGAATCTTTAACAAGGAGACCTGTGAGGAACGTTCCTCTCCAAATTTCAAGTGAACTCAATATATACATGAATCTTAAACAAAGAGACCTGCGAGGAACGTTCCTCTCCCAATTTCAAGTGAACTCAATATATACATGAATCTTAAACAAAGAGACCTGCGAGGAACGTTCCTCTCCCAATTTGAAGTGAACTCAATATATACATGAATCTTTAACAAAAAGACCTGCGAGGAACGTTCCTCTCCCAATTTCAAATGAACTCAATATATACATGAATCTTTAACAAAAAAACCTGCGAGGAACGTTCCTCTCCCAATTTCAAGTGAACTCAATAAATACATGAATCTTTAAAAAATAAAAATCTGCGAGGAACGTTCCTCTCCCAATTTCAAATGAACTCAATATGTACATGAATCTTTAACAAAAAGACCTGCGAGGAACGTTCCTCTCCCAATTTGAAGTGAACTCAATATATACATGAATCTTTAACAAAAAGACCTGCGAGGAACGTTCCTCTCCCAATTTGAAGTGAACTCAATATACAGGAATCTTAAACAAGGAAACCTGCGAGGAACGTTCCTATCCCAATTTCAAATGAACTCAATATATACATGAATCTTAAACAAATAAAAACCTGCGAGGAACGTTCCTCTCCCAATTTGAAGTGAACTCAATATATACATGAATCTTTAACAAAAAGACCTGCGAGGAACGTTCCTCTCCAAATTTCAAATGAACTCAATTTATACATAAATCTTAAACAAGAAAACCTGTGAGGAACGTTCCTCTCCCAATTTCAAATGAACTCAATATAAACATGAATCTTTAACAAAAAATCCAGCGAGGAACGTTCCTCTCCCAATTTGAAGTGAACTCATATATACATGAATCTTTAACAAAAAGACCTGCGAGGAACGTTCCTCTCCCGATTTGAAGTGAACTCAATATATACATGAATCTTTAACAAATGAAAACCTGCGAGGAACGTTCCTCTCCCAATTTCAAATGAACTCAATATATACATGAATCTTTAACAAATGAAAACCTGCGAGGATCGTTCCTCTCCCGATTTCAAATGAACTCAATATATACATGAATCTTTAACAAAAAGACCTGCGAGGAACGTTCCTCTCCCAATTTCAAATGAACTCAATATATACATGAATCTTTAACAAAAAAACCTGCGAGGAACGTTCCTCTCCCAATTTCAAGTGAACTCAATATATACATGAATCTTTAACTAAAAGACCTGCGAGGAACGTTCCTCTCCAAATTTCAAATGAACTCAATTTATACATAAATCTTAAACAAGAAAACCTGCGAGGAACGTTCCTCTCCCAATTTCAAATGAACTCAATATATACATGAATCTTTAACAAAAAATCCAGCGAGGAACGTTCCTCTCCCAATTTGAAGTGAACTCATATATACATGAATCTTTAACAAAAAGACCTGCGAGGAACGTTCCTCTCCCGATTTGAAGTGAACTCAATATATACATGAATCTTTAACAAAAAAACCTGCGAGGAACGTTCCTCTCCCAATTTCAAGTGAACTCAATATATACATGAATCTTTAACAAATGAAAACCTGCGAGGATCGTTCCTCTCCCGATTTCAAATGAACTCAATATATACATGAATCTTTAACAAAAAGACCTGCGAGGAACGTTCCTCTCCCAATTTCAAATGAACTCAATATATACATGAATCTTTAACAAAAAAACCTGCGAGGAACGTTCCTCTCCCAATTTCAAGTGAACTCAATATATACATGAATCTTTAACAAATAAAAACCTGCGAGGAACGTTCCTCTCCCAATTTGAAGTGAACTCAATATATACATGAATCTTTAACAAAAAGACCTGCGAGGAACGTTCCTCTCCCAATTTCAAATGAACTCAATTTATACATGAATCTTAAACAAGGAAACCTGCGAGGAATGTTCCTCTCCCAATTTCAAATGAACTCAATATATACATGAATCTTAAACAAAAAAAACCTGCGAGGAACGTTTCTCTCCCAATTTGAAGTGAACTCAATTTATACATGAATCTTTAACAATGAAACCTGCGAGGAACGTTCCTCTCCCAATTTCAAATGAAATCAATTTATACATGAATCTTAAACAAGGAAACCTTTGAGGAACGTTCCTCTCCCAATTTCAAATGTACTCAATATATACATGAATCCTTAACAAAATACCTGCAGGAAACATTTCTCTCTTAATTTCAAATGAACAGAATATATACATGCATCTTAAAAAAAAAAAAAAAACCTGCGATGAACGTTCCTCTCCCAATTTCAAGCTAACTCTATACATAAATCTCTGACAAAAAGACTTGTAAGGAACGTTCCTCTCCCAATTCAAATGCACTTATTATATACAATGTCATGAATCTTTAACAAGGAGACCTGCTAGGAACGTTCCTCTTTATAGTTTAAGTAAGCTCAATATATACATGAATCTCTAAAAAAGAAACCCTGCAAGGAACGTCCCTTTCACAATTTCAAATGAACTTAACATACATGTATATGTGAATCTTTAACAAGGAGACCTGAGAGGAACATTCCTATGGCAATTAAAAATTAACATAAAATTAACATTAATATATATGAATCTTGATCACACTGAGCTGTAAGGAATATCCCCCTCCTTTACAATTTTTTTCTTAAAACATGAAAAATAAACAAAAAAAGAATTTTTTTAAACACAAATGACCGTTCACAGTAGCTCAGTCGATAGAGCACTTGCTCCATGATCGGGAGGTCATGAATTTGAATGTTGGCTGCGAGCGACCTAAGTCGATAAAAAATGGGTAGCTACTGTTCCTTCACCATGCACTTGACACTTTTAAGTAAAAGTTGCGGGTCCTTTGGATGAGACCTTTTGGAAGAAACTGAGGTTCCGTGTCAGTGACAGGTGCTGTCATGATAAAAATCCTTCACTGCTTAATGGCCCTGAGTTCCAAGTAAAGGTAAAAATTTGAAGCCCTTTACCATCATACAGTGACGTCTCCATATGAGTAAAAAATTCTAGAGATGGAAGTTAAACAATATACAATCTTAATACGTGAATCAAAGGATATGGATATCTTGATAAAATTGACAAGACAAGAATATCAGTGGTCTTGTTTAAAGTAATCATTTCCTAAGTTCTTTGGTTGATACAATGACTTTGTCAGAAAATACAATTTATCTTTGAGTCAAATGCTGACTGACTTTTTCATACCAATTGTAAGTAATAGTCCATTATTTATATACACTGAATTGAAGACAGATTTTTTCTGTTATTTCCTGATCATGACAAGGAGCACATGGCAGACGCAACTGGTCAGCAGGAGATGTTCACTCCTCCATGGCACCTGATCCCATCACCGACGTTTTGAGGTCCGTGTCTGCTCTGCTCCTATTTTGTATTATTTTATGGACTTTGAAATTGAATACTGTTTGTTATCTCTATATCCTTCACCTCCCTATGCCATTCAGTGTAGTTTACATTTATGAATCCTAAACTATTTGTATTTTTCTGGTTTTGATGTGTCCTAGTATCTAAAGTTGATTGAAAGATTTTGTAGAAGCATAAAGAATATGATGCTAAGGGTTATATCAACATTTACACATATACTTGAGCGTTCCTTCTTTCACAGTATGTAACAAGTTGCAGTCCTGGTTGGAATGTGAACAAGAATTCTATGCAATGCAGAGGATTTTACTGGATTGTCCAGTTCACAATGTTGAAGGTGTGCATACATTTCTTCCCATTTACACACACAAGAGAACCTGAAAAATGAATTTACAAGTATTATATATGAAAGCACAGAAAAAAGTATACAGTTTGTGTATATCATTGAGGGAGTAAAAAAAAAATTGCAGTTACCCAAAAGCAAGTGAATTTACTGAAGCACAGTCAGTTTTTTTTATAACGAAATCAAAAATAAGACTTTTTTAAAATCCTTAAGTGTAATCCTATTTCTGCACTACCTGAGTATGATTCCATATAAATATGATTATCCAAGGCTTTATTGTCTTGAGAAGATTTCAAAAGATTTTTCCTATAAATTCCTTTGTACAACTTTGATTGTCCATTTTAGCCCCATCTTACCCCAAGGTCATATGATTTAAAAAAAAATTGAATCTATACTACTTGAAGATGCTTCCATATGAGTATTATCCTTCTAAACAGAGGGGTTATTGGGAAGATATTTTAAACATACCACCAAATTTTCACTGTTCCTTAATTACCTCAACTTGAAAGAAAGCATGGTTGTTCATTTTTAGAAACGTGAACCATCTTCACACAAGGATGGTTTGTGGCAAGTTTGTTTGAAATTGGCATAGTGGTTCTTGAGAAGAAGTCAAAAATGTGAAAATTTTACAGTCAGATGGACAGACAGACATACTTCAGAAAAAAATGTGATCAGAAAATCTCACTTGAGCTTTCAACTCAGGTTAGCTAAAATGTAGCAATCTGTTCAGCATTGAAAAGTTTAAATATAATGTTAAGAAGTAAGGGCACTGCCAATACACTACCCAGACATCTCAAAAATTCATAAAAAAAAAAGTAAAGTTACCTCTGGATTTTCATCTTCATTTGTAAGTATTCTCTGTAAATCTTCAGGAATTGCAGGGTGTTCATCAGAGTCAGAGTCCTCAATGGCATTTGAATTGTATTGTGGTATCTTTGGAAGATACCATATTGCCCCTTTCCTTGAATATCTACTGGGGTTGCTTTTAGTTTCCTCCAAGAAAGTTACAAACTTTTCCCACCATGCACTCTCTGCTGTTGTCATCATCTTTGCCCATACATTTAAACTTTTCTTGACATTAGCAACATCAAGCTTCTCCAATGATGCCGTCAAGATATTTGGAACATTTGTTGGCAGCATTACCGTTCCATTTTCCCTTTCTTTGAAGAAGCTTCCCTGCAAGGACTTCCAGGAATGGTCCACATTTTTTCTGTAGCAGATGTGTACATCACCTGTCAACTCATTCAGTCGATACCTTATTAAACATAAAGAAGAAATACATTAGCTCCTTTTGTCTTATTCTACTTTTGTTATGATTTTTTTTTCTGTCCATATTGTATCTAGAAAAGAAAACATTTTTACTCCATAGTCATAATCTCTTAAGCATTAAAATATAAAGTGAAAAAGCTTAACTGCATGACTACATTTTGTAAATCTTTTTGTAAATATTGAGTTGAATCTTCTAACACTAACAGTGAATGACTCTTAGAAAAGTCAAACTAGAATCAATGTGATTGGATAATTCCTAATATTCTGATTGTGCCTAGTAGTACACTCCTCCCCACATCTTTCTTAATGTATTTTTTACCAAATGTATTTATTTAGTATGAAAATAATGGTTGCCCTTTCTCACTTTTTGTTACAGGACACTGTCTAGCAATCATCTTTCAAAGGACATTTAGTCCACTGTAAAATGTACTAGTGGTTCCGAGAACCCACGGGCCTTATAAGTCACTTGAGTATCACGTAATAACTTTCCAAGAATTGAATTTAGTTCATGTTTTAAACCAGAGGCTATGAAATTCTCAATTTATAAAGGCACCATTACTTATCTGAAGTATACACATACTTCGGTTACTTAATTTTCAGAGGTAGATCAGAGTAACTAAGAGGAAATGCATTTCCACTTTACCAGTTGTGCACCCCTCCCTACAGGAACCACTAAACCTTGCATCACATGTAACAACAATATACCTAAACTTTTTTTTAGAACATGTGGGTACAAAAATACACAAAAAAGCAAATAGAGGGATACTGGTGAACATGAACGCCACACCACAAAATATCCCTTCCTGAGACCAGTGGCTATAAATAACTATCTAAAATATTACACACCTAAAGGTGTTGGTCCTTGTGTGGTATTTTACGCCTTTTAAGCAAGGAGATAACCACCCAGATATATCAAGACAACCTCTTAGTTCCTCTGCATTGTAGAGGATGTCACTCATCTCTGGTAGTGTTGCTGCATCTCTGTGTCTGAGATTATCAGCAATGACACTGAACATCTGGTCTATATCCTCATGCGTGTGGCCCACATGAAGAAAGGAAAGTTGGACCTGAATTATCAAAATAAATGAATAAAAGCACTTAAATCCTAGGATAAGCTTTAAACATCCCCCTTTTAATCCCTTTTTAAATATTGAATTTAAAATTACAATAATTTAAATACCTTTATAAAATCAGATTGGTTACTTAAAATACACTAAATTGTTTTTTTTTTTACTATAATTTGTATCTCTTCTTTTGCCCATACTATAAATTTATAAAACTTAACAATTGTAATTTAGTCTGCAAAATGATTATAAGCAGGTACCTCATAAAAAATTCGACGCCTGACTAAAAGCTCCAAGAAAGACAGAACAAACTTATTCTTATTTTCTCTGAAGCAGTTGTCTGCCTGTAGGTAGAGGACAGGAGGCAATGATTTTCCCTGTCAACATAGAAATCATTTTGTTCAAATTCTCAAACTGGTAAATACACTGCAGCTGTGTGCAACTATCATTGTCCGACGTCTGGGCTATTAATTTTTAATTTAGTGGTCAGACTAAAATTATGTACTGTAGACGTACTTTTTTCCACAGGGTAATAATTTAGTGGAATCTCAATTTCTGTTAAATCCACGGGTAGGAAATTATGAGGATTACTTAGACTGTCTGAATATGTATTACTTTTATATTAAGTTTGCTTGGACAAAATGCTTTGGAAAATTTATGACTGTGTACATAGCTTAAATTAAATTAATACCACACAGAAAAAAGTACTTGTACAGTATTTGAATATTTTTGTCGACTTAATTCATGTATGAATAAACTTTGGTTTAAAATCATAATCTTTAATTTTTTTTAGTCTATATATATTGGGTGTTGACATCGCCAGTTGTTTTAGTGACAATAATAGTTGCTGAATCGCTGCATTTCATTTCCAGAAATATGCATAGCATTTCCGACATTTTAAAATTTTATTTTTAATATTTTTTCCGACACAATTTTTTTTTTCATTTCCGGAATTTACCTGTGCTGCAATTCAATGTTTTCTCAGTAAAAGAAAATTGAATTGTAAAAGTATGTTATGCCAAAATATTAATAAAAAAAAACATGTATACATATATGCACACATGTGGCACTAATTAAGTCAAGGTAAAAGAGTTTAATGGGCATAAAACTTTTTCAGCATATCTAATGTGCACGAAATTAAATATCAGTGACAGCACCATTCTTATATCCAAGTCACTGATAGATTTACAAAGTTGGATTTCAATGATTTATTTTTTTTTTTTTCCTTTAAACTTTTCAGAAGTAAAGTTATCAAATTTTGTTACTTAAGGTACTATTTAAACATGTATTTGAAAATGTCTGAAATGAAAACAAAAATGTCGGAAATGAAAACTATAAAAAATGTCGGTAATGAAAAGTTGATAATTACCAGAAATTACAGAAAAGAAATGCAACCGATATAATAGGGAGAAGAACCTGGCAAAAAAATGCACAAACTATTATTTGTTTAATTATTTTCAACTCATCAGACTAGTATCTTTGTTATTGCCACTGGCCCAACCGGTTAGTAACTTATATTTTTTTTATTGCACTGTACTGTAAATTTTTGTAAGGAATATTTCTGTTTTTTACCTTTGAGTGGTTCCATAACACTTTCATCAATACATTCAGTGTAAGATTGGAATCATGTTTGTACTGGTGCAGGTCTGTAAACAGATATTTTCTATTCAGGCCATGACTCAAAACTCCAGTAACATGCACATTCAATTGCCTTGTTGCTGCAAACTCCTATAATGAGAATTAAATATTATTACAGAGGGAAGGCAGTGAGACATAAAAAAGAAAAAAAAAAGAAAATGATTTCATCTCTGTATTTCTTGAAATTTTATCACCATCACCTCACAATTACATCACATATTGCTCATCAAAATACAAGATCTTGACAATAAACATATTATCTTTATAAATAATACATGTACATGAAGAATTGTTTACAAAATGTAATATCAGATTTGTTTGTGTGTTTGTTGTTTTACGTTCATCTCAAGAATTCTTCACTCATATGGAGAAGCTACAATTTGCCAGTGGAGAACTGCAAATTTTGACCTCCTATTGCGCTTGGGGCCATTGAGCAGGGAGGAATCTTTTTAGCTCCAGTACCTATTATTACATGGAATCTTGGTTTTTTGGTTGCGGGATAATTTGAAAACTGATCTCGATCACAGAGTAAAGAAGAAGAGAAACTGAGGAGGGTGGACAATTGAGAAATATTTTGATAATGGCCTAATATTTTTCCTATTCAATTGGTAAAGGTAAACCTAATAACAATGTGTTTATTTGTACCTTGCTTGGTCTTCCCTTAAAATGAGGAATATTTGTTTTGGACTGATCCATTCCATCAATTATGAGGCTTATGTATCTATCAGGTCTTCGTCTGCTTACTGTTTTTCGTCTGTAATATGCTGATTTCTCTTTCCTATAATATAATTATATGTCTTCATTAATTTGCAGATTCATGATAGCATATTTTATGTGCCCATATTCTGAGTTTTGCTATATAATATCAATTATGGTTACACCACAAATAACAACATCAATGTTGTATTGTTATTGTATTAATGGAAAACTGTGAAAATCATTTAAAGCAATTTACTTATTTTTAGTAGAAAGATGCAAGGACCTATACACTAATATAGGTTCCTGGAAGATATGATACTGTTTAATATTTATTTACATTTGTCTGTGCAGATGTTCTTGTTTCTTTAGAAAAATTTCCTTTTTTTTCTCTGGGTTTAATTGCTTGTGTAGTTCTCTGTCAAGCTTGTCACATGTAGTGCATCTTGTAAACAAGTTACTCTGTAATACATAATAGAAAGGTATTCATTGATATGAATTAAATTATGAACTTATAGACTCTAAAAGTATACAATTGCTTAAATAAGAAAATTTCTCACCTGTTTAATTTTCACATGCGGAAAGTGTTCATTCCAAATGTTGAGGAAAGTCTGAAAAGTAACACAAGCCATGTTCTCTTCCTCTGCATCCTTTTTATATCCAGCATAAATTTCATTTTTTCTTAAACCAAATGGCAGCCAAATTTCTTGGATGTGAGGTGGATTTTCTCCTCTCATTGCTGTATATTCTCCAAACCAATTGATGACATAAAGTCTTTTTTGTGATGGTGTCCTTCTTTCGTTAGAGAGTTGCACTTCACTTGTCAACCATGTTCTTCGTTCCTTGTAATAGATTGATTTCTTAATTCCATAAGCAATCAACCAACTCTTTAAGCAAACCTTGTGGCCTTTAAGAATGAATTTAAAGGTTCCCCTTTTTACACTCTGAAAGTCATCAAACTTTCTTTGAAACCATTTTGGCCTCTCTGTGGTATTCAGACTCCATAATGTTGAATGGCAATTTTCAATCAATTCTCTTGTGAAGAAGCTTTGCCTTGTACATTTCTTTGGACAAGTACATTGTTCTTGAGAGGCCTTTTTAATAGTGCTTTTGGAGATCTTCTTTTCCTGAAGTCGAGTTCTTGATGACAGAGCAACTGAAATATTTTTAATTACTATGAATGCATAATACAATTAGGTATTGACTCATGCTGACAAACAAAATTGCCGATTCCAATACACCCATCCCCCACTACTATCCCCCACCCGGAGAATAATTAGTTTTATTTGTATTATACAGTACGATATCAAATTAGTTTATCCATGTTATCAAGTTGTCTCATCATTGTCAACAACAATTTTAAGTCCCTGAAGTTATTTCTTAACCATGCAATGAAAATTTGTTCCCCATTTGAAAAAACTATTAGTGCCGAGAAATTCATGTCTTACTGAAATTCCAAGGATGACAAAGAATTGTACTGCATGGTTAAGTATGTACATTTAATAACTCTGCAAATTCAGGGGAACACACACAGATCCGCCATGAAAATTTCAATCAAGAAGAATCCTAGAGAAATTAAACAATGGAAATGAGAAAAAAATTATAAGTGCTGAGAAAATTTTTTGTGTAAGGGTGATTTTGACAGGTCCGTCAGAGTATAAAACATTAAACAAATAATTTTCGATTGTTTGAATTACTTTTACCCTTTTAATTAGTGAACTCTTTCAGCTATTAATTCATTCAACCTTATTGATTTTAAAAATACATAAACAATTAATAATTGGGAGACTTACTCATGTTAATGAAACGTTTATCTTAGAAACCTTTGTTGATATTTTATTAAATTGATTTGAAAAAAAGGCCTATGAGTTTTTGAAATTAAGCAGTAAAATATATTTATAAAAAATAAACAATTTAAATCAACCAGGGCATATACTTCTGTGTAGACCTAGCTATTACATGTACCTCACAATCAACAGATTGTTATTTGATGCTGTGCTGTTGTTTGTACTTAAAATACTGAAGTACTGAAAATATCTTATATTTATAGTATACCTATAGTGATTAAATATACATAGTACATTACCTATCGTGGCATAGAAAGTAAACAAGAAAAATAAACTAAGGTAAACAAACTAAATTCAATATTATTTGTAATGGGCCGAGGTGTCAACCAGCATGGGCCGAGGTGTCGTTGGGCCGAGTAGTCTGTCTACCCTACTAAACAGAGTACGCTAGAGTACATTAGAGTACTTTAGAGTACGCTTAAAAAATTATGTTATTTAATGCAATTAAATTGTTTATTTATGTATGTACAACTTGATTAAACATTATTATAAACTTATTTTCCAATATTTGTTTCAAATATTTGTTTTTAGCGATATTTTGAAAAGAAATAACATCCAAAATTAAACGCATTAAAGATGACGATATACCTATGGCTAAAACCCCAATCTCGATTACTATATTGTTTCAGACTTTCTTTCTAAAGACTTGCATCTAAATTTTATTTAATAATATTAAATTAATTGCATGTGTAAATATTTTTCACATTCACAATGAGACATATATATTTTAACATTTTAGTTAAATTAGATCGGGATCAAACGATCAACCGTAACCTGAAATCAAAAATTTAAATAATTAACTCTTAAAATACAGAAAACATACAATGTTTTTTTAAACATATTCAATATGTTAAACTAAAGTAGAAAAAAATATAAAAAGTAATTTAATTGCATTAAATTATAAAATATTACTAGGGTACTCTAAAGTACTCTATCGTACCCTGTTTAGTAGGACCGATATGTCACCATAGAATGTGTTAAATTAAAGCTTGTCCGAGCTCAAGTCGTTAAGAATGGGATCTCTGCCTTCCAAACTGAAAGTCGAGATCACCTATACAGGTCTGGCACAATCTCTTGATTAAGCTATATAGCTTGATTTAGCTATATAGCTTTATTAAGCTATTTAGAATAGCTTGATTAAGCTATTTTCTCAGACTTTTTTTCTCAAATGTGTTATTTCTTTAACAGGTGCAAAAAGTCGCACCTTGGTGCAGTGGAAAAATTAAACTTTGTACTGCTCTGTATACAATGCATGTAATAATCACTCACCAAATTGCGTCCCCTTGAAATACTTTTTACTCAAAGTTTTAAATGTTTTGGGGCTATTGATGAGTGACCACACAGTTATTTCTTCAATGAAATTATAAAGGAGGCCAGTTATGGCCAACAGGATAATTGATTAGTAACAGTTCAGCACAATGAGAAGCAATCATACTTACCCATGCCTCACCACACACACAGTTACTCAAACAATGGAAATTATATTTTGCTTTAAAGTATTCAACAGCAGCAATGTTAAAACTTGTTATGATTTAGGTTGTATTTTTGATAGTCCATAGTACATATATGAAAAGTCAAATATTTGTGACTTTTTGTTTATTTTTTTCAAAAAACGTTTTTTTAAAAATTGCATATAAATAGCTTTATCAAGCTATTTTGAATAGCTTAATAAAGCTATATAGCTTTTTAAAGCTATATAGCTCAATCAAGAGATTGTGCTGGACCTGCTATAATCTTGTGTTATATAAAATGCCAGCCTTCAATGAATGCAAATATCATGAAGGCTTGACCTTAACTTCAAACAAACAGCAGTTGCAGACAAAGGTTTTCATTAATCTTAAAGACAGATAAAGAAAAGCCTACTAAATTTTCTGCAGCAAGCTAGATAATTAATCCCAAGGGATTAATTGTACCTCTCTCATCATTTTCTTCTAAAGTTACAATAAGAGCTTTTTCAGTATTAATGATAGAATGAGGTTTTTATACAACTACATTGAAAATTAAAATTGATTTGATATATTTTTTTAAAAAAAAAAGGAAAAAGGTGAGAAAAAAAGTACCCTCAAATCAAGGTGTCAGTTTAGGCGAAGTCAAGGTAGCCAGTTAGAATATCTGATGCGCACTTCACCTAGGGAGTTTTTTAAATTTTTTTAAGAATCGTAAGCCACAAAATAACAGTATGATCTTAGTGTAGAAGATTTTTTTGATCACTTCAGAAATCTAGGTGTCTTTAAAGATGTTACAAATAGTGATTTTTTGAATACAGAATTTTATATGAATGCTGTATTTGATGAACTATATGTCAATATAACTGTTAAAGAAGTTGTAGATGTTAAATTATAAACAGTTTAAAAAGCAGAAAAATCACCAGGAAAAGATAATTTAATAAATGAATATTTTAAATATATGTGTGAAGACTTAAGTCCACTTTTAACGAGAATATTCAATGTTATATTTGAAACAGGTAATATTCCCCTCACATGGTGTGAAGTTGAAATAGAACCTATTCTTAAAAAAGCTGAACCAGATGTAACAGCTAAATAACTATAGGGTCATTACCCTCTCTAAATAGCCATACCCCCCCTCCCCCCCGAGAGGAAAATTCACTATAAAGCCAGATTTCTGGGGGGGGGGAGGAAGTCTCACTGTGGCGGAAGTCTCACTATATGACACCAGATCAAAATTAATCTGATCCCACCCATAATTGTAAAGTTTTTGGAAATAAATAACATTTCCCCAAGAATACAAGTCTGATTAGATGCGATAAGGGTTAAAAATTATTGAACCTGACAATGAAATAGATTTCTTCACTGTAAATACATGTAGAGGCATTAAATTCACATTTTATTCATTTTGATCTAAGTATTTAATTATAAGATTAGTTAAGTGATCATTTTTAAGACTGGAGATTACTGAGTACATTATGTACGATATGTACACACACACACACACACACATATATGCAAAATTTTTTCTATTTCAGGGCAAACCAAAACAATATCAACAGTAAAAGGGACTTACTCTACGATTGATCCATTTGAATTCAAAGGTATTTAATTTTTTTTGTTAAAAAATTTATGATTTTACTCCTATAACAGCTTAAAAAAAACAAGATGTTGTTAGATGTTAATAGTGAGTATGCGAGCGGATCAGAAAAGTTTACGGACAGACGGACGGACGACGGACACAATGTGATCAGAAAAGCTCACTTGAGCCTTCAGGTTAACAAATATAAATTTAAATTGGAAAAACATTTTTTGCTAAGATAATAATTAATTTGTCATTTTTTTGGTCTCAACAATGGTTAAAAAATGCTGGTGAGTTGAGAATATACAGTACATGACTATTTACATGTACTATCATGATGAATTTTTGCAAACCTTTTAAAGAAAAGTTTATAATGACTTGTTTAAATTTCCTGTTTAATTCATTGAATAAAAAAATTACTTAATTATTACTCCTTAGATGATGCAGCATCTGATAAACTAAGTGATGTGGCTACACAGAATTTAGTACCAGTACACGTAGAAGTACACAGACCATCTATCGCAGGTGCTTCTGCCTTTTTGATTTTATCACAGTAAATTAATTTATTTAGCTTTTAATGATAAATTACAAAAATATATACATAACATTATATTAATTGTTTTTTTTATAGATTGCTCTGAAGTGGGTGATATTTCTCCGGTAATAGCAGAACCAGTAGAAGTCTGTGAAGATGAGTTAAATGGTATGAAGTTTATTCTTAATGTCTAATCACTTAATTACTACATTGCTCATGATATGTTATGCCCTTTTGGACTTGGTAAAATTCCAATTTGGGGAAAGGGGGCATAAATGTTTTACAAACAGCTCTTGGTCAAACATGTTTTATCATAATTATTTTTGTAAGTCAAATTGTAAACTTAAAAGGCAATTCGAAATACCCTAAATGATTATAAATATGGAAGCTTTGGAATAGAAAAAAAATGCCTTAGGTACAATCATAGAGTGACTAATTTTTACCCAAAATGCAGCCAGAATGCAGGATTTTGCATCTCTATTCTCTGTTCCCCCTCCAACACCCATTCCCCTTATTGCTTCGTGACTAGGCCTGCTAGACAACTACAGGTAATAGATGAACAGGGCTAGTAGAAATTAGACAACTAAATGGTTTTAAAGTTAGTGTCAAACCCTGTAAACTATTAAATAAAAAACCAATTTCTATTTTTTCCTAGTCACGGTCCTCAGGAGAGCAATGTGGCCCATGAGCCTCTTGTTTGGTTTCATCATCTCTCTTTAATTCATTTAATAATTTGATGGGAAATTTACAAAATTAAGTTAGTAAACTACCAAGAAGT